CGACAAGATCTTTTAAATGCTCGTGGCATTGTGAAATTTCATGAACAAAGTTCACGCGGGAAGTATCGCCGCGCATGGCGGACACGTTTTTACGACGTGTCCCGGCATCCTTTTGTGCGCGAAACTTTTCAGTATTTTCCGATATACGCGCCGGGGGTATGCGCGTTTTGTGTGTGTGTGTGTTGCGTGTTGTGGAGATGCATAATACTAATACGACTTGCATAGTTCACATATCACATAGGTGGATCCACCCGCTAGATCCACTCCCGCTATTTTCGCGAGGATAGGCAATGAAAAGGCTTTTTCCACGGCTCCCACTTCAAAATATCGCCTAGGCGAAATCAAGTTGCTTCTCATCTCCCCCATTGGACGCACGTGCATCCCTCTACATGCCCGACGCTTATTTTATCGCTGCGAAATTTTCGTGAAAAGTAAAAGAGACTGAAATATATAATTCGGATATAGGAAAGTGTTTTGCTAAAAAAAAAAGGAAAAAAAAAAATGCGGAAAATTTACAGTACGTTCACTTTATATAATCGCTCACTCGTAGATAAAATGCTGCTTCATTTTGGTAAATTAAAGCAGTGAACTTATAAATAATTTTCGACGACCATCAGGATCTTGAGAAACGTCGGAGTACCATCGCATCGGTACTACTCCGATTATGCCACGGAAATTGCAAAGCGATAATTACGCGCCGTGAATTACAATGGGAATCCAATTAAAGCACTTAAATTATCGTTAATCCTAACGCAATATCAATTACACTTACGGACGCATGCTGCAGTCCCGCTGGAGTGCAACGAGAGAGATATGATCGCAATTAATGGGGCAGTGAGTTTTATATCTCGTAAAGACTTCTGTTCGACAAAGGGTAAATCTATTAAGTGTTATGCACGCGCGGGGAAAACATCTCTGTTAATAAATGCGCGCATTACCGTCCCGTTGCGTCGCGTTGCGTCGCGCTGCGTCGCGCTGCGTCGCGCTGCGTCGCGACGGAAATGTGTGTGCGTATATAAAGGCGAGCGCGATGAATTTATATATACGAGCAAGCGGTTCGCACACAGCCCCGAAACGGGGGCTGCGTGTGAATTTAATATATATTTTTGAACCCGTCGTCTCGAAACTTCATAAATAATTTCGCTGAATAATTCAAACGCCATGACCGAAGTTAGCGAACCGAAAGTGTTGTACACCGCGAGTGTGCCGTGCGTGGGCGTGAGCGTTAAACGAAAGTTATAAGACCCACAGTCGTTTCATGGCTGTGAGACACGGAACGACACACACACGTTTCGTGACGTGATCGAGCCGCCTTTTTCCCTTCCCTTGTCTTTCGAAAATTGAATTTATTCGGCAGAAAAAGTACACGAACGTTTTTGATTATTGTTAAGTTGGAAACAAACTAATTGAATTGAAGGAGGTATTTTAATGTCGGGAATTATCCGAGAAGGTGTACGCGATTTATGGCGAGATTGAATCAACTCTGAAGTTTTAATGATAAAAAGAGTAGGCACTTTGCTCTGTGAAGGGTTTCGAAACTTTAATTACGACGCGCGATCTCATTACAATTTTGTACACTTTGATCGTGAGTAATGTCATTAGATAGGAATTAATCTCTACCCACACGGATCAAATATGCAGAGCTTTTCGTGCGTGAGTTTCTCATTTTTATGCAAATAGCAGTTGTCTTACGTTAAAAATGACAGAGTAAGACCCGGAGAAAAGAAAAATAGCTTTAAATAAATTTCGCGCATCGATGACAATGAAAATTGAGTTAAGCGAAGTTTTACTAAAGTAGTATCAGCTTCCCGTTTAAATTAAATAAAGTGAAGCGAAATCAATATGAAAAGAGGGAATGGACAGGCCAAATTAATTGAAGATCGGGAACGCCGCCAAAGTCTGATTTAAGCTTCTTTTTAATTCAGTTTTTTTTTTAATTCGAGTCACGTGCAGGGCATTATATGTCATCGCGAGTTTTAATTACACTAAGAATGTAATTTAAGAGTATAACAAATGTAATTTCTTAAAAAGTTAAAATTTTAGAAAAATATTGTGATACCGTGTATAGTTTATAAGAAAATTATTTTTTACAAAATTTAATAATAACATATAAATTATAATCGCGAATTAAAAGAATACATTTATTTCCTTATTTTAGAATATATCTTTCATTTGGATGTTTATATTATATACATATAAAAATATTGCTTACGTAGAAACAGATATGAATGTAGTCGATCTATCATATCAACACCATAAAGTGACACCAGTCAGTGACACGCGTCAAGGCAAAGTCACGAAGTCAATAAACTTGCGCAACGTAGCAAATTAAATTATAATCCGTAGAAAAAGATATGCGCAGGTGCAATGCATTGATATACGATGTCGCTCCGTGAACGTTATAATGCATAATCGAACGTTCAAGTCAGGTCGCGGAATCGGCGCTCGTCGGCGCTCGCCGCGCCGCTAAGTCGCGCGGACCGATCTTTTCTCTCCAGTCATAATCATACATTTACCGCGACCGCGGGCGTTTCCGTCATGGAAAATGTCTTAATATTCCACACGCACATGTTCGAACGAAAAGTGTCCACCTTCGGCCGTCAGTTTCGAGCCGCCCACGCGTGTACGTACGCGTGCGCGCGCGTGGGCGCGTGGCTCGTATCTGCGTGCCGTTTATAAGGACCCGTTCGCAATCCGGCATCGAGATTTTGCGTCCGACTGCGTTTCACACTCCACGCAATCGCGCCAACAGGCCGATGTTGCGTGGCTAATAGATACGTTGACATAAATCCGACCGGCGCGCCATACGTGTGTAGCGATGCGTGTGCGCCAGCTCGCTCTCTCGCCTCACTCCTCTCGCCCCCGCTTCTTCCTCTGTCTCGCATATCTGGACCTGTCCACGTTGCATTAATTCAGAGTTGCGTCCTCGCAATGTTCTCGCAGAAATGTGTCAGCTGTTGTCACATATAATGAGCGATTGACCGAAAGTTGCCCCCGCAGTGTTTCCACTTCGAGAGGTAAATGATTGACAATCCCATTTGTCCGCAGGCATGAATTGTAAATATATATATATATATATATACACGTCGTTG